CTAGTTCGATCGCATAGTTGACAAATTGTTCCTGACCGACAATCGCGTGCTATGTGACCAGAGCGATTACAAATTTGACAGGTGCTTTGATCTTTTATTTTTTTTAAAACAACGATCTTCAGAATGACCAGTTTTTTTGCAATAATTGCACGGTTGGTTCTGATTAGAAACTGAATTGCACATCAAAGCTGTATGCCCTACAATATCACAAATCTGACACGTATTTGCAATCTTCTTTGGGGCGGCTTGAGTAATCTTTTTACTAAGGTTAGTTTTTAATTTGGATAACAATTCAAGATCTTTTTCCACTTTAATGGCATTCTTTACAGCTGTATCAGAATTCATTTCGACCGCTAAGTTTACTTTAATTTCGGATTTTAAACCTTTCTTGAAGCAATCAAATACGTTTTCTTTTATAATATCTTTAAATTCTTTAGTAACGGCTGATGTGCCGCCTTCTAATTTCTTTGCTTCAAGAATTTTAGTGGTTAACTGTCTTAGGCGATTTGAAAAAACAATAACCTTTTCATCTTTTCGCTGAAACTCGTTACCAAATTCACCGAGCAGTTGATTAAGTGTTTGCGCAGAACCAAAAATATCCGTTAAGTGTTTTATTAATTCATCTATAGAGTCAAATTTAATGCCAATAGCTGATGCCTGAGCTTCGCCTTCCAACTTAAACTTAATCAATTTGGTGAGATGAGGCTCACTGACTCCATCTAACATGGATCTCGCTTCCCTGCAAGCTTCGGCAAATGTTGTAAGATTTTCAGTTTTTCCATCAAATTTTGGAATTATTGATAGCACATCACGAAAAGTAGTTCTATTTATAAGACCTGCAGTAGCGACAGCTATATCATCTTCGTGGTTCGACATTTTATTAGATAAGTCTAAAGACTTCGCTAATAAATATTACTTTCTGATTTATTTCAACTACTACGTTTACTGTCAATAATAGTATTTTCTAAGTCAATTGAACTATTTGAACTAACGCTTTCTAGTTCGGCATCTTTCTGAGTTTCTAATGGTTTGTCTTCTAAATTTATTAGCTTTAAGTCCGGATACAAAGTATCTGGTTTTTCTTTCTTGGGAGTACGTAGTAAACCGCTTTTTTTAAAGGCAAGATCGTCGTCCCACGGATTCCCAGAAATTGTACCTAGACTTCTTGTAAAAGGTCGTTTGTTATCCGACATCAATAATCGAAATTGATAATTTAATTTACTAGATTGCCAGAGAAAAGGAAATTTATATCAAAACTTATATCAAATAAATGACAATTATTTTTGAATATTGATTTAGTATTTAGTTTGTTCTTATACTTACAATACCCTAATAGACGGAGAAAAACAAAAAAAAAGTCTCTTTTTAGCTTTTTTTTTTTAACCAAATTTTTTTTTATAATTTCTCAATTTTTTTTCTATATTTCAAAGACCATACTTTCATTAGTTAATAATAAAAAAAAACAAAAATTATTTCTCGTAATTTATTTGAAACTTTGAATATCCACAATAAAACTTAATTTTCTTAACTTTTAGTTTTGTATAAAATTTTTTTTTAACTTTTATACAAAACTAATTCCAATTATTTTTTCTTTTCAATTACAAACAGAGCTTTTTTTTTCTACAGAAAATTGTAGTGTGATTTTTTTTCTTTGCTTTTTATTAAATATTTTTCACGCTACAAAATATTCTAATCAAGTGATTTTTTTTTTCTTCTTCTAAATATTTTTCACTGATAGATATTACAATTAACAAGACTCTGTAGTTATGTTTAATTTTTGAATAATACAAAAAATATTCTTTCCTTTTACAATACAAAATAGGATATGAATTTGTTTTCTCTCTTAAAAAGATTTTCAAAATTTCAAAGTAAAGCTAGTAACAAAATTCATATAATGAAAAGATTTTATACAGATAGCAGGATTTATAAAGAGTATTTTCAACCAACAACTATCCCCAACGGGGCCTCCAATGTTACGTCTCACTTTTTCGTGAGGCGGGAATTTCTAATCCTTTTCGGGCTGTGATTTCTCATTTTACCCGGGTAAGGAAAGATTGACGTTGATTACAAATACCGAAAAGTTTGATGCGCATGGCGCGGATGCTATTCTAATCCCTGAATCTAAATCGATTATTCTAGCGCCAATCTTTTCAGAAGGCACAGAGAATTATCAATTATAGATTCCACTCAGACCTATAAAGATCCTAATGATCCAAGTTCTGAGCGTTAAAATATTGTATCAAGTCTATTCAACTCGTTTTTCAACGAGAGGAGCGAGCGATACGGAATTGGGAAAAATGGATGGTGAAGGTGAAGAAATGTAAAAAAAAATTAATATTTGAAATAAAACTTACTTTTATATATTTTTTTGTAGAGTCCTTTGAAAGATAATTGTGAAGTTTGATAATTTTCAAAAATAGAATTCTTGGGATTCTTGAGAGAGAGTGTATCCTTTGAGCGTGGCTTTTCTTGCTGCGGGTGGCGTAGCGGTGGCGTACAGTTCTCGCCTTACTTAGCACATTCCCTCGGGTTGTGCTCTCTTTCAAAATAAGGCCGTAAGGGGCTCTGAAGGATTTGGGCATGAAAACTTCAAAACTGATTGGTGGAAATTTTTCCGCAATAGGGAAACGTACAGTTTCTTTAAGACAGATAGAGTTACTCATGCCAAATCGCGTATAAAAGTACTATTTTAAATTTTTAACGTGCAAGGACTTAACATACTTAATTATTATCTATTATAAGTCATTAAATATATATAAAAATAACAATCTGAGAGTTATATTTAATTCTCAAATGTTATTTATTTACATCTTTAAATATAAAATGGAGCTTAAATAAAACGTAGCTTAAATGGTAAATCGTACGACTTAATTTATCTAACTGCACAAATTACTCAATAGAATAAAATAATTTTCTAACTTTGGATGACTAAGCTAAACGGAAAATGAACACTCAATGGAAAACGCATAAGAGGAGCTTTCTCTTTTCTTTCTGCATTATAATACAATTTTTTTAAGCGTAATTCATGAGGTAAACTTGTTGGATTTAAATTATGCAAATGTTCTGGTAAAATAAGATCGTCTAATTCACCATTGTTATTAACAACGACATCGATGGCAGTGTATATACGTTCAGAATCTTTATTTAATAAGTTAGTAATTTGTTTATTAATGTCATATACGTCAACATTTCTAGCCGATAATATAGCGCATTTACACATATCTTGGAACTTGTTTTCTTTCATTAATATACCAAATATATCATCAATTATATTAGAAGTTGGTGGAAGTATACAATGTTCAGGAAGATTTACACAATAATTTTGATCATTCAATGTTCCATTGCCAATATCTAATAAAAATGTGGAAAATTCTATTTCATTTGGTAAAACTCTTATGTTTGCAGTTAGTGAAAATTTGGTGAAATATTTCCAAACTTTACTGTATACAACGCAAAGGCTTAATATTTCACTTCGAGTTCCTCGAACTTTAATTGGCAACAGTTGCTTTAAATCTCCTCCTACTATTATAATTTTTCCTCCAAATGGCAAATTATTGTCCGTAAAATTTTGTAGTTTTATTTACGATTTCTAATGCGTATCTCGGAGCCATTGAAATTTCATCCCAAATAAATACATCAGTTTCTCTTAATATTTAAGCTTCTTGAGATTGTGCTTTGATATTAGAAGAAGAATCTTCAAACAGAGCTACTGGTAAGCCAAAAGTTTTATGTACAGTCTTTCCATTTAGAAGTAATGTAGCTGCAATGCCGGTAAATGCCATTGAACATATTTTAATGTTCTCTGAAGTTAATTTATAATATATAGTTTCATAAACGTACGTTTTTCCCGATCCTCCTGGACCATCCATGTAAATGCACCTAGGACCTGTATAATGTAAATTATGAGCCGCTTCGAAAACTATGTCGACTATTTGTTTTTGTTGAGGATTTAATGCATTATAACGTTGCTGTCCTATATTTGCCATTTGTTCTAAAGATATGTCAGTTCTGTTAACATATAATGGATAGTTTTCGTTCGATTGATCTGGAATCAAAAATTCGATATCGACTGTTTGGTCCATTGTAGGAAAATCAGCTAAACTACGACTTTCGTTGTTAAGTAAGGTATTGATGTGAGAGTAGGCTAATCTGTAACTTATACTTTCTTTGTGGTGACGAGAAAAATCTTATGACATTGGATTTTTGAAATGATTCCACAGCTCTTCTGGATTAAGTGGTTGGCAATGTATGAGAATTCGGACAAATAAATGACGCAGTCTTTGTGGCATCATCCATTTAGTTCCTTCTTCTAGTGCTAGTTTCCATTCTTCGTCATTTTCGATCAGTCCTAACGCTAGGCAAGCTGCGACGAAAGTGGGGTGTACTGTGTTATCAACGGTTCTCAAGCTTTCAAAACTTACAGCTCCCTTTACATGCAATAATAGTATTCTTCAATGAAATAATTCTAATTGGGTTGGACTGATGGAATATATGCGCCCAATGACATTAAAGTGTTTCTTTCTAGTACTCCATTTACTTATATTGCCATTTTTTTTCTTTACACTTGTAAAATGTTGTAGAATTTCGGAATAGTAATATTGTCTTGCAATTTCATTTTCGAGATTTAGTTTGAAGTAATCTAACAACATACTACTTGCACTATTTAGGGTTTCTAATGTTACAGGGTTATTTGAAATAATGATGGATTGATGATTGGGTATATGTATAGGTAATCTTATAATAGTATGGCTTTTATCTTGTAATGTTTTACTTAATAAACGATAAACTGATTCAGGACCAACATATCGAGTATTCAGAAAATCGGTAAATCTCATCGTGCTAAATCGATACACTATTTTCAGAATCTTGAATAACAACTGTTGCAACATCATGACCTTTGTATATGTATTTATATAAATATTTTACAGCCATAATACTCGATACTGCTTCAACATTTATGTGGCAATCAAACAATTCTGATAAATGCGGACAATGAGGTACTATCCACCTGTTATCAACTTGATGACCATTAGATCATTGATGTGTAGAGCCTGTGTTTCTTCGACGATAATTAGGAAAACCATTTTCATCCATAGTAGTTTCATCTTGAAAAATTTTGGAAAATTCTTAGAACATTTGTCGTTTTCCATACACCAATCACCACATGGACCATGGACCATGTATTTTAGAATAATATCATATAAGTGTGGATTATTTTCTTTAATTGGAAATTCAGCGGATATAAATTTATCAACAATTTCAGGAGTGGTCCACTTATAACCATTTGCTAATGTTATCAATAAATGCATGTATGGTAAACCTCGTTTTTGGAATTCTATTACATAAACATAAGCAGCCATTTCACCAAAAAATTTTTTTTTAACAATTAAATCAATTATTCGTTCTTTCTTTAAGTGAAATATTCGTGCTACAATATCTGGTCTATCAGAAGTTTGTTGACCACGTAAAAGATTTTCTTTAATTTCAGACCAATTTGAATTACATGTCATTGTAAGAAAAATATCCGGTTTACCTTTTTCATTTACCAAGGCCATAGCATCTTGATAACATTGCTGCATATAACGTGGTGATCCAGTAAACGACGATGGAAGAATAATGGTTTTACCTACTTGTCCGCCAACTTCTTCAGCTATATTTTGCATGTAATCACTGAGTCCTTTGTAAGTATCAGCTTTCAATTCTTTTTGATGATCTTTACAATATTGGATTCGGTCTTTTTCAACTTTAACGTAACTATCAACTACCCATTGTTGAAATAATCTACCACCCATAATGAAAGGATTAAATTCATCTGGTCTTATGGCCATTCGATGCCTATAATATGCCATTCTGGAGACACGTTTGTCACTATTAACGCGCAATATATCTTTATGCCATTCTTGAGTACCATATGGGTAAAATAACGGATATATCTAAGGTTCAACATTTGGATTCATTGTGCTGACAAATTTTAAATCTTTTGTACGTTTGTTTCTAATCGTTACATACGATTCTGGAATTTCTCCGTCTGCTGTTGTTGAAAATACAGCAGCAACTTCGTTAACGCGTTGGAAATTGTATCTTCTTTTATCGACATTTGGTTGTAAAGTAAATAACAGCTGCAATTCAGCCTCAGTAAGATTATTATTACCTTGTAATACTTGTTGTCTTTCAATTTCAACTCTCATTATTTCATAAGATTGAGTAAAAATATTATTTTCACGTATAATTGTATCCAAAGATTTTAAAAGTTCAAAATCTAATGTAGAATTGTTACTCAAACGATAATTTAATGCTTCTAATTGATCGGCTATAAAAAGTTGTCCAAACGATGGATTTTCTCCTTCATTCGGGTACAATGCTGTATTTATCTGGTAATAAATTTGACCTTGTATTTTGAAACAAAAAGGTCCAGGACGATTAGGTGTAAAATTAAATAAGTTGGCATTTAAAGAAGCAAAAGCTGATGAATTGTTGTAGGATCTAATGTCTTTTATAAATAAGTTTGATTTTGGATTGTTGTCTGTGAATAGTGATTGAAGTTCGGAAGGAAATGTAGGTAAAGGATCTAATAAAGCAGAACCATGGCTACAACAGTTACTGAATGATAAACCTTTATTAGAAATCTTTTCATCTTGAAAATGTTTAACATTGCAATGTGAACATAGTACATTCATTGGTCCTAAGTAATCTTCGTCTATTCCTGTAGCTCGTACCCTCAATCGGTTTCGAGCTGCTTGACGTCTGTGACGTAAATTTTCTTTATCTCGAAGTCGTTTAGCTTCTTGAAAAATTCGTTGTTCTTCGGGTGTTCGTCTAACTGCTCTAGCAGGCATAATGATTATAGAAAGTGATGATAATAATAGAAATTTGCAGATGTATGATTGAAATTACAGGAAAAATTATATTAAAAAATAATGTTAATTTGTATGAAATCTGAATTTTTTATGGAGAGTAATGTATATAGAAACAAACTTCCAAATTAAAAATATGCTAAACTCATTTATCTTAAAATAATTTGTAATATTTAATAGAATTTAGATTAAAATTAGTATTGAATATATTGCAACGGTAGTCGATTTAATTAATCGAACCGTTCGCGATTCTGCTTCTCGCGCGTTAGTTCTAACAGTTAAGAGAGAGAGAGGGGGCACGCGATCTTTTGAATAGGCAGTTTCGCCTCAGCTGTTCACGAGAGTTTACCGCCGATTTGTGTTTTGCACTTTGTTTCGCAAAAAGTAAAGTTTTCTTTGGGTCAATTACGTGCGTGAGTGCAATGGCATTTCCGTGACAGATAATAGCAGCAGTACAGAAGCAGCAACAAAGTTATATTGAGGCAGATCGAGGCAGCGCAGCTGATAATCGAGGGGCAGCGGCAGTTGAGATTTTTTTGCAACAACAATTACGGCTGATCACCGTAATTGCACCGCATGGTAGGTGCACCTTCCGTCATTATATGCGATACAAAATACATTCGGTATTTTGTTTAATCGTGTTAGCGTTAATTTTTGTATTCGCGTCGAGCGTTAGTTCGCGGTATAATTCGAATCTTTTCTGTCTCTCTTTCTCACTGAAAATACTTAATTGTAAAATCCTATTCGCGAGCGTTAGTCTTTCGACACTTCAAAGACTGTAGTGATTTTTATTAATTAAAGTTTGTTAAATTTATTCGCCGTTTTCTTCATTTAATTTTCCTAGTAGTTTAAGTAATTGGAAAAGGCTTAGGTTTTAATCTGATTAACTTTAGGGGATTAAGAAGATTAGGAGTAAAGTCACTCACACTTAAAACTTATCGAGTGTCACATGACACGTGACTAAAGGTGAGTTCAACTCGGTTGGAAAGAAGACCTAGGAACGAAAGTATCAAACGTAAAGGCCAATAAACGTTTACTCATACGTGTTTAACGGAGCGGCGGTTTACTCTGCATCGTGGGAGTTTGTTCTTAAATAAATTTCTCATTTTTCAGATAACCTCCCCCGTTACAATATAGATGATTTTTTAAAACAGAAAAACAAATAACTGTTGATGTGTAAATATGATATAAAATTAATATTATATTATATATTATAACGAGTCGCATTCTCGTTATGTCTCTCTCTCCCTGCAGCCAGTTTGTTTATTAATTATATTTATACTTTACCATGCATTATAATAATTTGTAATTTGTAGCGCAGTTGAAATGTCAGCGAACAAGGTAAGAGTCGAGTCCTACGATCTATACTATCGATAGTCCCTAGCGCGGATATCGCGGAGAGACCGCGATCGCGAAGGGGAGAGAGAAGGAGAGCGCGTAATAAGCCAGTTGGCATGCGAGCAGAGACAAGTACGGACGCTAGCATAGTTTGGCAGTAACATCTTTTCTTTTGCGTTACGAGAGATCTCGAAGGAGTAAGCGAGTACGCAGTGGCGATTATACGAGTCCAAAGATCGCCAGCGATAAGCGAAGGCGCATAGCTGATGTTGACAGGAATTCCGTCAGTTATAAGGCTAGGAAGCGAGAACGCCCGCGTGAGTGTAGGACAGGAGTAAGCGTGGTCGCGATCTACTGTTCGTGCGTTGCTGCCGTTCTAATAACCGACGACAACTACTGTAAGTACCTACTCGATTCTCTCTCTCTCTTAGGCTCTCTCTCTCTCTCCTATTGCTTGCTAACTGCATTCGTCACTTTAGTTTTTCGCCCGACTTACGCAATCTGTCATTTTGCTCGGCATTGCGCCTTGCCTCGAGCCGCTTTAAGCGAATTCGTTGTCCGATCTTGTTCGGTCGCCGACAAGATCGGCGTGCTGCGTTGCGTCATCGCCTTGTTCGCTGCCGCTCACATCTCGCCACCACGCGCGCTTGTATGTATTCGTAAGTGCCTGAAATACACGATTCGTTTCTACCAAAATCCGCAGCAACTTATTCCGATACACCTGCCCTATTGTATAACTACTTCGCCGTGAGACTCTTTAGGTTGTCCCTCACCAAGTAACCTGTGGCTCACGACACTCTCCGCGGGCCGAATTTCTACGTAAGGAAGGAGGCAAGCTGATGCGGCTGGACCCAAGCACTGTTCGCACTGGTGCACAGGGTTGCCTTGGATAGCGCACTTCGCTTTGTTAAAATATTAATCCACGAGAACTATTTATTATATAACTGATTTAGCCCGAAAAGAGCACGAGCTAAAACCCCGTTATATTATAGCGCCCAACGTGCATATCGAATTCTCAGGAAACTTGATGCAAAGATAACCTTCGCGGAAAAAGAAAAAAGAGACTCACCAAGCCAGCGAATGTAAACACAAGTAAGGAAACAAGCAAGACACTTTTGCTTGAGATACGAACACTCGTGCCGGAAAACATAGAGTGTTTACGTCGCACAGACATACTCTATCGGAATAGCGTGGGCTAAGCGAACGACGCTAACTCACGTGTATTTACTGCGATAAGAAACAGCCTAAACACTAGCGAATACAAGCGTTTACGTATATACATCTCACGCATAAGCGAAAATCACAAAACGACTATTTATGTATGAATATCAATTCCCGATAAATTGATTTCGATAGTAGCATAACCTATCTATATATTTATACATTTTACGAAACGCCTTATTATTTAATAACATTTTCTTCTATTATATATTATTCTATACTGATACTGCCGTACAACGCCAAACTAAAATATAATAGTAATATATTAAGATAAATAAAATAATAATCTTAAAAAAAAAAAAAAAAAAAAAAATTATCAAGTACAAATAGTAGAATATAAAACTGAATATAAATAATAATAAATAAAAACAAGATGTCAGACATAACTAATTTAACTATTTTTAAAACAGAAGTAAATAATAGAATAAAAGAATGGATTAAAACACTACCTAGTGATACATTAAATTCAATCTTAAACGACCTTGAGCTCAACAACGATGGCTCAATGTACGAACGTGCTAATCAATTATATAGACGGTTACAAGGCGATTATACCGCGCAAGATTTTGTTGAGACAATCGATAATTTGTCGCTTCAAGCGAAAGAAAGACGCGATAATTTATGTATGACATTAATACAATCAAACGTCATCCCAAAATCGATACGCGACGATTTTATAGAGATAATACAGCAAGAAATCAACGAAGAATTGGACAAAACAGAAGAAACAAACAACGAACAAGATACACAACAACAAGACATGTCGTTAACACCAACTTCGAATACGTCAGAAATAATAATAAGAGAATCTGTGACGAATGTAACAATTCCAACGACAACAAATATGGCTCAAACTATGACAACGACTAGTTTCATCAATACGCAGCCCAAGATGTCGACAACAGAGAATAAGACGAATGCTATGCCACATATGCTGCAGACGCCAGAGAAAATGATTTGGTGTAAGCTACCCTCAGGGAAGGCACAACACATACCAGAATCAACGGCAAAAGAGCTGAAAGGAGCTTTAATTGCAACAAAAACGTTAAAAGAGAAGGTCGACGAACTAGAGGAAAACTTATCAAGACTCAAAAGCGAAAACGCTAAACTGCAAAACACAGTTTACAGTCTAAATAATCAAATAAAAATGATAACAGACATCAATAGTTCAGCAAAAAATTTGTTAATCCAATTTTAGAGCCAACCCGTTGTAAAAAAATAATCAAACAATCATCTCAGGTGGTTACACACGTGTGTTTCGTTGGTAAATATCCAACCTCATTAGATCTTTATTAAAAAACAAAACGAGAAAATAGTTACAGATATAAACCAAAACAAATAAAAATCACGCTAACAAAACATTTACCTCAATTCGCAAGTCACAATCAAATCAAATATCACAATAAAGTCAAAAATACATTGTTAAACTCATCTTATAACTTAACATTCGTTCAAATACTCAAAATTCAAATCAGACAACGACTATGAAATAATGCAAATCAAACAGTGTCTGCTACCTTTTATACCAAAACAAATCACAGGTAGACACACAATCAAATGTATCCCCTCTCCTATGCCAAGAAAACCGGTACATTAAGCATCATTATACATCAAAACAAAATTTTAAAAAATATTAAATAAATGTGAGATCAGTCAGCTAAAACATCAAATAAACCTTTATATTGTTTACTCAATAAACCAGTGTCCTCTAGTAGCTACTTTGATCCACGGACTTCCAAGTTGAAGGACTAGTGGAAACCATTTGGACAGTACTAGAGTTCAAACAAGGAACTTAGGAAAAACGGTGCGAGACTGGAAGGTACATTTCTCGGGCGACACAAGCACGAGTATTGAGGAATTTCTTGCACGAGTAGACGAAAATTGCTGTTTGGACCGCATTACGGAAGACGAGATTCTTGATTCACTGTCTACACTTTTTAGAGATCAAGCGCTACAATGGTACCGATTCTTGAGACCAACGTGGAACACGTACAAGGAGTTTCGAGAGGCAGCATTGACAGCTTACAGTAAGGTGCATCGCTATCATCGTAACATTTCAGTGGAAGCCCACCTGAGGACGCAAGGACCTGATGAAACAGTTAGGGATTATTTATCTGCAATGAACACCATATTTAGCCGCTTTGAGCGACCGTGGAGCATTCCAGATCAGATCAATTTGGCTATTGATAACATGATCCCCAAGCTAAAGGAAGAAATGAAGAAGGACCAGCAAAGCATCACGTCATTGCTATAGCTTTTTAACCAAGCCCAAGAAGTGGAAATGGCCGAGTCAGACGAACACTGGAAGCATCCGCCGTCTCCAGACCAGAGCTTGTTACCAGAAGCGGCATACAAGCCTAAAACGAAAGCGACAGCGCGTTCAAAAGTGAATATCGCTTCCATTAACGAGAACAACGTCATCT